TAATTAGCTCCAGAGCTTATCATGAAACTGAAAAGTTGGATAATGTACAAGTTTGTTTGTTTTAGTTGTGATTTAGTGAGAGAGGTAAGTTTTTCAGGTTCATAGACACGGAAAAGGGAGTTATTTTGCTGGCCCTGTGTTGCCCCAATGGCAAGGTGTAGGGTTTATAAGAAGGAATCCTTGATCTGAACTTAAGCCTTTATAGGGCCTCTCTGTGTTCTTGGAGTAAAACACTATTTGAAGTCAGGATTAAAATACATAATCAATGACAATACTTTGTAAAGAGGCCTGTAGCCTGAGAGCATTTGAAAAGGCTGGGAATAAAAATACCTTGCCTGGCATACACTTAGTAATTTGAAGTTGGTCTGTTCTAGAACTCCAGGTAATGTATATGAATAATAAAGGCATTTTAAAAGAAATAACTGGCTATGGGGTTGCAGCCAAGTTGGTAGGGAAATGCCTAGCATAAATGAGGCTGTGGGTTCAGTTTTTAGCACTGTATGAATTAGGCATGCTGGTACACACCTGTAACCTTATCCCTCAGAGGGCAGAGGCTGGGCTGATCCAAAGCTCAAGGCCATTTTCAGTGTCGCAGTGAGTTTGACATCAACCCAAGGTATGTGACACCACCAAGTCTCAACAAACCAAATAAAAGCAACAAGAAAGTCATTTTGCTATTGACAATGATTTTTAACATGTTGGGGATTGGGACGCAAGAGATAGCTCAGAGAACTCAGAGGACCCGAGTTCAGTTCCCAGCACCCACACTGTGGGGCTCACAACCATCTGTAACTCCAGGGGACCCAATGCCACTTTTTTTGCCTCTGGGGGCATCCATACACATTAAAAACATACACAAATAAAAACAAATCTTTGTTTAAGAAATCAAATATTTAAACGTTGGGAATGAACTAAGTTTTGCTTTATGCAAATTTTTCTTTTCAAGAAAAGCAGAAAGAAAATTACATACGTCACATGGTAGAGCCATTTCTTGAAATAAAAATCCAGCTATTTTTATTATTGTCACTGCACTTTGGGGCTCAACTTGAATAGTTTAATGACTCCCGGTTAATTTATTAGGAAATAGCAACACTAACTTAATATCCTAGTAATTTTTTTCCTGATTTTCTTATTAGAAATTCTACTTCTCTGGTTTCTTCTAAATTAAAAGTGTTTAATAAACTAAGGAAGTGACCTTCAATGATTAGTGCATCTATAGAATACTTAAGAATGAGATTACGTGAATTTCTAGGCCTGTGCTTTTTCCATATATGAATCAATTTACCCACTTTTGTGCTTTGTTATTAATAATTTATATGAATGTAGAGTTTTAGATGAATTTAATGTCAACCAGGGATTAATGTGTATTAATTAAATTGACAGTGTCTTCTTTAATGAGAAAAAAGGATTTAGTTCTAATACTGATGATCTTAATCAAGCTTTCCTCCACTTGTCTGTATTTTCTCAACATTAGGAATTATTTTTATTACAAGGTGAAGTAATTTAGTGTTGGCTGGGCGGCAAAACTCAGATAAATCATGTGATTGCAAACTGATTTTGTTTTTGTTCCTGGGGTTGTATAACCAAGCCGTGTAACTTTCAATTAAAAAGGAAACAATTTGTGTCAGCCATTTAAAAATAAAAACAGAAATTGAACTCTACATTTCATTTTCTTTTGAGTATTATGTAAGATGGCTAAATGTTTGGCGGGATTAGACCCAGCCTGTATCTACCACTTAATGTTCACCATGTTTGTTTGAATCTTCTTACATAGAGAAAAGGCTGCATTTACCCAGATGATTTCCGAGTACAATCCTTGTCACAGAAGGGACCATATTTTGTAATAAAATCTTTCCACAGACTTGTGAAGACTCTGGAATTATTATATCATCACTTTGAGAAAAGGCCATACTGCCCCAATACATGTGGGAATGTAAAATTGTCCTGATGTGCTCCCTCCCAGAAAGCTATGCACATAAAAGAGTATGTGCCTCAGTTAGACCCCTTGAGGCTCTGATGATACCACTTCTCACTCCTGTCTTTTTTGTTGTTCTTAAGATATGGTCTTGTTGTGAAGTTCAGACCAGGCTGGTCTCAAACTCACAACCCTGCAATATCTTTATCTCTCCAAGTACCATCACACTGGCCCAGTTGCTTTCTAACTTACAACCTCATTATTATTTTGAAGGGGAAAATTGAGACAAGAATGCAGGGAGAGGAAGAACTGCCAAAGATAAAATTCTAATTATGATATGCATCTATTTTCCTCCATAAACAGACAATTATGTGCCATTGTGTGCACACACGTGGACACACTAACACACATACATTTTAAGACAAGGTTTCAGTCAGGCAATGGTAGTGCATGCCTTAATACCAGCAGGGAGATCTCAGAGTTAGAGGCCTGGTCTACAGAGTGAATTCCCGGATAACTAGGACTACACAGAGAAATTCTGTCTAGAAAAACCCAAACTCTAACCAATCCAAAACAACTCACCCCCCAAAACCCCAACAACAACAACAACCCAAACAAAAACCTCAAGGTTCTCACTATGTATCCCTGGCTGACCTGAAACTTGAGACTTAGACCAAGATGACCTTGAACTCACAGAGATCCACTTGCCTCAGCTTTCTAAGTGCTGGGATAAAAGACATGCACCACCCCACCATGCTCAGCAAACAATATACATACAAACATACATACATACATACACACAGTCTAAAATTGCTTCTGTCTCAATACACCACACTTCTGGGAATACACCCAATGGGATGAGGAAAAGTCTAAGGCAAATGAAGGAAAGATTTATTTATTAATTTTGAACCTGGAAACAGAGTGATCCAGAGGGAGGGATTTGACTTTTAAATGATTATGCTCATATTTAGCTACCCAATGTGCTTGTCTAGCAGAGCTTTTTAAAAGTTTAACTTAATTTTATTCTTTTATGTGGATGAATGTTTTGTCTGCATGTATGTCTATGTACTATATGTGTGCCTGGTACACTCAGAGCTCTGAAGAGTGCCTCAGATTCCTTGGAACTGGAGTTATGTATGGTTGAGAGCTGCTGTGTGGGTCCTTTGAATTGAACCTAGATTTGCTGGGAGAATATTGGCTGCTGTTAACTGTTAGGCAATCTGTCCAGCCTACATAGCTTTTATTAAAAGAACTACTTTGATTCTTGATCTTTGACAGTTAAAGAATCAAATCTACTTCTCTACCAAGATGGAACCCAAACTTGCAGACTCTATATTTGGTATAGAATGCAGTTTTTTTTAAAAAAAAGAAAGAAAGAAAGGAAAAAAGGAAGGAAGAAAGAAAGAAAGAAAGAAAGAAAGAAAGAAAATCAATCAACAAACCAAACCAACAACACTACCCTTAACAGTATCTTCTGAATATGGAGAGCATAGTGTATCAATTGAGTTGAATGGGGATCAACTCAATTCCAGGGGGATTTTCTTCTCATTCGTTTTTAGACAGGGTCTCACTATGTTGTCTTGATTGGTCTGCAACTTGCTTTGTAGACCAGGCTGACCTTGAGCTCACAGGGGTCTGGTAGCCTCTCCCCGATTGTTGGGATTAAAAGTCTGCACCATGAAACCAGGCAAAGAGGATGTCTTTATAATTCATTCCAGTGAAGGCACTGAGCAAGACCATGCTACTGTTTGTCAGGGGTGGCAGGGAAAGGGCGCTTAGATTGTCCTAAAGCCACTCAAATCATTGTTTTCCAACAGTGATTACACAAATGGAACCACCCGGGAAACTTTTTAAATATCTGCATCACAATCATCCAAGAAATGCCTTCCTTTGCAGACACAAACATGCCATTGACAACTATAATTTCTGCTATTTGTTAGAAATTGAGGCACCGTAGCCATGTTATCCTGAGATGAGAGTGGTCACTGGGAGAGCAGAATTGCTTGCTGTTTGATTGTCCCCTTTGAAACTCAGCAAACCACAATATCCTGTCTTTAAGTAACATTCTAACATGGGAAGATAAAGATGAGCCCTGGGAACAGTAGAACCTCGGTACAGAAAATAGTACAGAACTCACTCACATGTCTAAATTATTTTCCTTTTCAAATAAATGGTATTTATTACGTCAGGTAATATTTATATAGCAGATGATCAATTTCTTACTTGCTTATCGAATTTACTCAAATTCTTTCTCCTGTGGGGTGTGTGTGTGTTTGTGTGTATGTGTGTACATATCATGGTGATGCACATGTGTAAGTCAGAGGACATTTGGAGCCTATGCCCTAGGGATCCAACACATCAAGTTTGGGGGCAAGTGCCTTTACCACAGAGCCATCTTGCCAGCTCATCTTTATATTTTGATATTTTGAGAGTACAAGATATTCAAAATGTGAAAGCAGCCATTTAGAAGCTATTCTGTTTATACGGATTGATAAATATAAGAAGTTGGTTCTGTCCATAGTGTTATTCGTATGTCGAGATAATGACAGTGGAAGATACCTTCTAAGATTATAGTCTCTAGCAGTCACCAAGTGATGACTGGGCACATGGCTCAGTAGCAAAGCTCTTACCAAGCTCCCCCCCTCCATTACCTGGAGAGCTCATAGACACAAGGGTTACTCCAGAATATTCCTATTTGTATCTTGTATGTTTCCCATTTGATCTGAGGCTGAGCTGCTAGTAAGCATGAGGGTAGGCAGCCAGTCACTATACTGTTCCAGTTTGTCAATCACAGGTACCCATTTGAGGATTCAAGAGGGAAGAGATTCCCTCTCTGTACCAATACTATCCAGGGTTAATGATTAGAGTGCTCATATTTGCACTGGGAAGTAGTAGGGAGAATCATGTGGTTGGACCCAGCTTCCTTGGTTGGATGAAATACCGTCCATCTTGTTGGCAGGATGTACTCCTCCCTAAATGCTTTGAAGATGACCTGCTTCATGAGCTACTATAGCTAATGACATAGCACAGGTGTTATTCTTTCCTCACTCCTAACTCACAGATGAAGAAACCAAATCTCTTACAGACAAAATAGCTCATCATGGGCTCCCAAGGGAGTAACTGACAGAAGAGAGATCTGAAGCAGCATGGAAAGCAAGGTGTGGTGGCTTGCATCTGTAATTGCAGCACTCAGGAGGCAGAGGCTGGAACATCAGCACAAATTCAAGGCTATCACAGTGAGTTTGATGCCAGGTAGGGATGCATAGCAGGATTCTGTCACAAACTAACTAACTAACTAACTAACTAACTAACTAACTAACTAACCAACCAACAAACCAACCAAAAATTGAACAAACTAAAATAGGACTAAGTTGGATGTAGTGGTGCATGCATCTAATCCATGACACAGTTGATTGAGGTAGAAGGATCTCAAATTTAAGGTTAGCCTGTATACTTTGGAACACTCCTTTCTCAAAACCTTAAAAACAGTAAAACATGATGATGATATGATTCCAATGATTTCATTCCCTTTCTGCAGCACACATACCACACAAACACACACACGCACACACACAAACACACACCCCATAATCATCGACAAAATATATGTCATATATTGCACTATAAAACGTTCAACATGATCAATAAAAATTCAAACTACGTTGGCAAATAAAATAAATGCAAAGCAAATGAGATATGACAATAAGGAAAAGAATATCGAGTACAAATTGTATCCACAAAGCTTTATTATCTTGTCAGTTGTAATGAACTTGACCCTAAACTTCTGAAGAGCAGGCAGGCTTTAAGGGCTCCATGTGACATCCTTGTTGACAAGGTTAGCAAAGGCAAAGAGGATGCAACCATTTGCATTCCCATAATGGAGCTGTGGTACAAACCCCAAGATCCTTGTCTTGATTTCCAGTTCTACAGTGTCCTCTTGTGACTATCGAGGATGGCTATGGTGGTGCTCAAGGACATACTTGCATCTGTGAGATGGGGAAAGCAGGATGCCAGCCAGTAACACTCTATTGATCCAAGGCAACATACCACAGTTGTAAATCTGGAGTCAGGGTTCTCTATCATTTAATTCCTTCTGATGCTATTTGTCACAATATCAAAGACAGATAAGTTTGTCATTAAAACCATAACACCAGGCCGATCATAATACTTCAGATACATTTCTTAAACCAAATGTAAGATAGAGTCTATTATACCTCTCGACACTTCAAGTTATTCTTCACTCTTCAAATTTTGCTTATGGTTGGTTCAAACAGGACATGGGCATTAGAACAGATGTTTTCGGAAGAAAAAAAAACAGTCTTGGAGGAACTATGTGGGAGTTGAGAGATAGAATTTAGGTAGAATTTAGCTAGGAGATAGAACTTAGCCTGAGAGGGGGTCATCAGCTACTCCCTCAGCAAGTAAGAGGAAATAAAAAAAAATCATGAAAACAATCACAAAAGAAATATTCTTGCTAAAGGGCAAAGAAATGTCTTTCATTTATTTATTTTTTTTCTAGAACACCAGGAACACAAGTTTTCTTATCTGAAAATGAGCAGATTGATACTCTACCAATCTCCACCATCTTTCTGTTTGGAATGCTTGAAAAAGCATTAGTCAGTCAGCATTTTGACTGATTCAGAGATGGGGAAAGGAGGAACAAGGGTAATCCTCAAAGGACTGGAGCCAAGCTTCCATGTGAGAAGCAGCCAAGCAGCTTCTGAAGCAGCCCTATGACTCACGGGATGGAGCCACAGCCACGTGCTGTGAAAGTCAGCTATCCAGCTCCAAGCAGAGGCTCAGCCCAGGCTGGAAGGCATTTCCAAGGAATTCAGATCTTCTGCCGACAGGATCACTTGAATCCTCTTTCAACATCACATTCCAACCCCAGTGTTCATGCTGCGTCCTCGTCCTCGGGTGTTCATGGGGAGACTGGCCCGGCTTTGGCTGTCTGCAGATTCATAGCATCAGAATGTTACCCAGACTTGCAGAAAATGTTAACTACTTCTCACCTACCAACAACTGCTTTTCAGTTTCTTTTAAAAACTACTCCCAGTATGGAAACATTTTCTTTTTTGCTTTCTGCTTAACCGTGTTGGCTAGTGTAAAACAAACAAACAAACAAACAAAAAAACCACCCACCACCAATAAAAGCCAGCAAAGCAAACCAATACCCTGTGCAAGAGTTTCTATTTTCCAGCAGACCAAGTGCCACGAATGTGTCATTTTTGTCTTTTGCCTAAGTTACTTTTGCAGGTGCCATGGCCTGGAGTCTATACCCAACTGCACAGAGAGTAGCAATACAAACAGATCAAGGCATGCATAAATGTGTCTGATTAATTCTAGGGCTGTGTGCAAGAGGGGTAGCTATGTGTTGACTTCTAGATCTATTATCGCCTATTGCTCTTGAAAACACCTCCCTGCCTCTCCTTTCTCTCTACGTCCCCCTGCCACATATATATGCATGTTCATGGATGTGCCTGTGTGTGAACATGTGTGAGTGTGGAAGTCAAGGGTCAGTGTTGGGTGTTTTCTACAGTTGCTCTCCAATTGTGTTTTTATGGAAAGGTCTCTCAGTACAGTTACTGCAATCTGTTCTTGTGGCTCTGGGGAAGCCACCTTCTCATACCCAGCTGGCCACAGTAGTTGTTCCAAGGGTTACAAACAGCACATAAGTACTCACTAGTATTGGTGCTAGGACTTGGTGTCCACTAAGGGACTCAAAATCAGAAGTGAAATAAAAAGGTATATATTTAATTTGTCCCCCAGAGGAGAGTTGAGCTGTGAACTGTTTTGGACTTACATAGTAAGTATGCCCCTGATATTTTACTTCAAAGAAATTGGTGTGCTGATTATAAAATATATTTTGTTTTTTGTTGTATTACATTTTTACTATACTTTTTTGTTTTTTTAGACATGGCTTCTCTCTGTGTAGCCCTGGCTGTCCTGGAACTCAATCTGTAGACCAGGCTGGCCTGGAAGTCAGAAATCCACCTGCCTCTGCCTCACGAATGTTGGGATTAAAGGCGTGCGTCACCACCACCAAGCATGAAGTGTATTTTAAAAAGTAAAGACTGAAACAAAAAATTAGGCATTTACCATGCTAGACAAATAAACCATTAGAACCAATTGATTATAGAAACAGATCTACCTATGTATGGCCAATTAATTTCCAAGAAGTACAAAGAATAATTATATGACAATAAGAACAAAATATTCTCCATAAATGTTCTATAACAAGTATGTATCCAAGAGAAAAATGTAGATTATTCTATACCCAGACAATAATTACATACTGACTATGGAAAATGGTATATTTCCAGAAATAAAGAATGAATGATAGGCAGATTACCTAAGAAAGAAATAATTAAATATAAAAAAACATAAGTTAGACAGTGCGAAGAAAATGAATATGGCTTGATTTTCTCCACTTCCAAGAAAATTAGTGTCATTTGGAATCTAATATTTGCAAAATGTATCCATTTTTAACCTTTCTTGAGAAGATATGGCTTAATTTATGCTCACTAAAGTGGCTTCAGCTTCCTTTTCCCCACTAATCTAACATTGCTCAGGGAGTTTTGCATCTCAATCCCCAGATCTGTTGTCTTCAGTTTCCTTGGAATATTATCTGTCTTTCTACATGCACAAAGACTTTGAGCCAATTCATTCTGTCTGAGCAATTACCTCTCCGTCTCTAAAGATCTCTACTGGGATTTCCTTGGAAATATTTCAGTGATAGCTTCATTTCGTAGACAAAGGAAGCAGAGTGAATAAAACATTTCCTGGGAATTTGACAGTCTTGGCGTTGAAAAGTTAAGCACTGAAACCATAACAGATGCAAACAAGGGAGTCTTCCTAACACCAAAGTCAGAATGTTCCCAGATTCCTGCTTGATGAGTGCTTCAGTGACAAGCTTCAATAGAACCCATTTCCCGTGCTTGGACTCTGTCTCTGTATCACCTGAACACTGCCAATTAGCTCTGGAAGGAAGCTACACTGTGAAGAGTTTTATAATGTTGGATATGTGTGGATCTCTTCTTGCTGTGATTAAAACATGACACTGTCAAGGGGAAGTAGGCTGGCAGGGAGAGGAACACTGGATGGCAGATGTCTTATCTGCAATTAATTTTCTGCAAATGTGTCTACATGTCTAACAGACATCGACAGACGATTCTCCTGCTTTATACTCACGTGGTGTGATGTAACTTACTAATGATGCCATTTCGTTGGTCTTATATTCTTTCATCCTAAAATGTGTCACGGTTTTTAAAGTTTGTAAAGTCGGAGCTTATATTGACATTTCTCCAGTAAGTGATATCATTTATGCTTCGAGAAGCTCTGTGGCATGTTAGCTTGCCATCACTGTAACAGAGAGCTGAGATAATCAATTCGCAGTTGGCTCACAGTATTGGAAACTCCAGTCTATGCTTGGTGCATCACTGCAGGAAACATAACGACAAAGCCATTCCCCTTTATGCCCTGGAAGGAAGTTAAAATGAAAACAAAGCAATACTCAACCCACCTGGAAATATCCCTAAGTACACAAGGAGTTCCCATGATGCTCTACCTCTTAAAGTTTCTACCAGTATAGACGTTAACTGGGAACCAAAATGTTAACAAGAGGGCTTGTATATCTAGCACACAGATTCTTGTGTATTTGAAGGTTGAAACCCTGTGTTCTGAGGTTGTTCTCAGAGTCCATTCCCACATTTCAAAGCACTCACTCATGCAGGTTCTGGAGTTGAAGAGCTGTTCAGTGGAATGGTTATTTCTTTGTTCTGCTTCTGGTTAAGAATGGACACACATCCTCACTTTACAACCCCTTAGGGGAAAAGCTAAGATTTTATATGGAGGGTGTTTCTGATTAGCTCATGCTTGCTGTAGAGTGGCCCACTTGGACCCCAGACTACCCCAGAGAGCCACATGTGCTTTGCCTATTCCTTCCAAGTCTGACATGCCCGTGTTTGGCAGACAGGTTTCTGCCAGCAGATTTTTTATTTTTTCCACTTTACTTTCTTTATCCACTTTACTTCTGCTAACATAATTTCTTTCTTTCTTTCTTTCTTTCTTTCTTTCTTTCTTTCTTTCTCTCTCTCTCTCTCTCTCTCTCTCTCTCTCTCTCTCTCTCTCTCCCTCCCTCCCTCCCTCCCTCCCTCCCTCCCTCCCTCTCTCTCTCTTTCTTATTCTTCCTTTTCAGGCTACATACTCTAACAAGGGGTCATGTACACAGTCTCTTGTTTGGAGCA